CCCCCCCGCCTGAGCTCGGCGCCGCCGTCGGCTTCGGTACAGAACGACGAGGTCGGGGAGCCCCCGCGGGGCAGAACCGCCGCCAAGTCGCCTGGGCGGGGGGGAGCTCCGCGCGGCCGGCTTGGCGCAGCTCTCGTTAGGCCAGGCCCTTCCGCGAAGCCCCGGCCTCTCTGAGCCCGATGCGAGCCGAACCGGAGGCGACTGCAGCCTCTCCCGCTTAAGGAGGCTTTGCCCCCTCCTTTCCCGGCGGAGGCTCCGAGGGACGCGTGTCCCCACGCCGAGAGGAGCGCCGGTTGGGCTGATCTGCAGCCGTCTCTTCCCAAGTAACTCTTCCCACTGAGCATCGCCACTGAGAGCCTAGAAGAAAGACAAGTGGAAAAATAAAGCAGAACGAAGCCACGGGACCTGGGGAAAAGAGGATCGCTCCGGAATTTCAGTCTAGACTGCACGTGCCTCGGTATCGGCTGCTCCACCTCCTGAGCGGGCGAACAGCACTAGCCGCTGCAGGAGCTGGCGATCGCTGCAAGGACCGTTAAAAGCAGTAACAACAAAACTGAAAGAAAAATGAAAAGTCATCGATCCCCGACGGCTACTCCTTTGCACGAAGAGAGTTTCCTTTAAATAGTTTGGGGTTTTTTTTTCTCGTATAACCCGTATTCCTAAAAGCATCACAGAAAGAAACTAATTAGTAGAAGGCCAATATTAAAAGGCAAGACGTGAAGTGTTCACCGAAAGGACGGACTTGAAAAACTTGCCGCGAACAGCCTCTTGGGTGGGGGCCGGAGGGGCTGCGGCCGGGCGCTCCGTTTTCGGTGGCTCCGACGGGACTGCTGGCCTGGCGCCAGGGTCCGCGGCAGAGAGGCCGTGCCCGGCGGCTCCGTGTCGCTCCCTTTTCTAGAGCCGCACGAAGATGCAGCCCCCGGGGCTTGCTCAAGCCGCGGGAACCCGGGCGGGCCGGCGGGAGGGGCCTCCGGTCCCGGTTCGCCGTCGGGGCTCCGCCGAGCGAGGGCACATGGCCGAAAAGCGGAGGGCGCTGGAGAGACGCGGCATCGGGGGACCTGGGGGAGCGAAGTCACGGCGTTGGTCTTCCTCCCTGCAAAGTCCTCCTCTCTGGCGGGTATCCCCAGCCCCAACGAGCGTTGGTTCCAACCGTTACTTGATTGAAAAGAAAAGAAATAAAAAAAGGAGGCCGGCGCTGCTGTACTGTCTCCTCCAAATGGGTCCCGTTATTTGCCACGGGCCGTGCGGGGCGCCCACCGCCGTAATTCTTGGGGTGAGGGGATTTATTATTGCCCTTGCACATAACGACAGCCCTTGTGATGGGGTCCTGGGCGCCGGGGCTGCGTCTCCGGTGAGAGCGGAGCTCCTGGAGCCCCCGGGGATGATCAGTGTTAGTATCGAAGCATCTTTTCGGGTGGAAAAGCCGCATCTCCTGGACACGTGCTGGTACGTACTGATAAGAGGGAGGTGGGGTTGATGAGTGCTGCCGGTGGCCCTGGAGCTCTGGCGCTCTCCGGGCGGCTGCTCAAGAGTGGCTGCTTGTCCTCACGCCTTTTGTGCGTGAGAGCACCACGAGGAGAACTGAAAGTGGCCCTGATTTTAATCATACATCATTGCCCCTGTCTGCTAGGTCCATAAACTTCGCCTGCAGGCTGAAATAGCATTGACTCATCCTGAACTCTCTTCCAGTGGCTGATTACTGAAGTGGAATCTGTCTGATCGACTTAATAAGAATTTACCACTGCACTAAATGACGAAAATTTGTTTTTTGCATGGCTGCGTTTTTGCAGTTGATGGCATTTTGAGCTCTCCTCCTGGAGGCAAATAATCCCCATAAATACTCTTATTCCTGACCTCATTAGTCAGATCCAGAGCCAACAACCGCTTTGAACTGTTGTCTGGAGAGCCGCTTTAAATATTTCTAAACATGTTGGGAAGTGAGAAAACTCTGACCTGTGCACCTTGCAATAACAATGTAGGGTTCCTGCAAAGGACCAACAGCCTGGAAGACAAGGGCCGGATCGTTAGCTCCCTGAAGGAAAGGCAGTCCTCCAAGAGCCTGCTGGCATGCGAGAGCAACGGGAAGGAGTCCAGGTTCCGGCGCACCGAGACAGACTTCTCCAATTTGTATGCCAGAGGTAAACGCTCTTCACAGTTTCTGCTTGCTCCAGCTCGGGCACGGACCCATGGTCGTCTGTCCTCGCCTCCCCTGGGAGTGCAGCCACGTGCAGCCCGTGCTCTTGCTTGGTTTTGAAGGAAGCTCTGTCTCTGTGTGTGTAGGGGGGGTTTGAAGGAAGATGTCTCTGTGTGTATCTGTCTGTGTGTCTTCGCCAAGAGCCGCACTGGCAGCGTGCACAAGTTTCCTGAAATGCAGTTTTACGTACTTTTGGGCTGATCCTCTGCAGCTCAGCTCTGGCGGTTCCTCCGGGGTCACTCCAGATCCAGCCTCAGGGAGGAGAGTAATTTTTTATTTTATTTCCTCGTCAGTAAAATAGCAATGAAACGGTCTGTGACTGCTGGTACGGGGCCACTGATGAGGAGGGTGGGGAAGGGAAATCAATCCCTTTGTGGGGAGAAGGGAAGCGTTGCAGGAGAAGGGAAGGCGCGGCTTTGGGGTGCTTTTGGCCCCCAGGAAGCCAGTGCCCCGCACAGCGTTAGCGCTGCAGGGCGTGCTTCGGCAAGGGTGCCTCGGAGCTGCCCCCGCCGTTCCCGTGGGCGACCTGGGCTCGCCCTTCCCCACTGGGCGAGGGAGGGCGGGAGCCCCAGGGGGTCGTCCTCCGGGCGCTCGGGGGGGCTGGGGCAGGTTCCATCTCCGCCTGTCTCTCCCAAAGCAAGCGCTGACAGCTGCTTTGCTCCGCAGATTTGCTGCCCGCCAAGAATGGCGAGGAGCAGACCATGCAGTTCCTGCTGGAGGTCGTGGACATCCTTCTCAACTACGTGAGAAAGACGTTTGACAGATCCACCAAAGTGCTGGACTTCCACCACCCGCATCAGCTCCTGGAGGGCATGGAGGGCTTCAACCTGGAGCTGTCGGACAACCCCGAATCCCTGGAGCAGATCCTGGTGGACTGCCGGGACACGCTGAAATACGGAGTGAGGACAGGTAGGTACGCGCACACTAGAGTCCCTCCTGGGGCTTTTCTCTAGCCCACGGTGAAGGGAGCAGGCTTGAGCCCACGGAGGTAAGCCCACGTCCTCTCCACCCCCTCGACTCTGCCTCCTTGGAGCTGAGCCTCCAGGGCTGTCTGCGGGCGCCGGAAATGTCTCTGCTCAGAAAGTGGAGTTATTGATGTTCTATCCGTCCGTGGCGGGCAGGGCTCGGTGCCGTTTGCAGAGCCTAGAAACAAGTTTTTAAGATGTAATCTCTTTCACTTGATGAAATGCGAGCTGTCTGTATCTCCGGGGAGCAATATCATTAGGTAAATGAGGGCATAAATGACACTGAATTTGCAGTTTTTCTTCTTTATGTTCTCCAGACGTTTAATGAAAAAGAGTCTGAAATCCTAGGAATCATCAATAAAAGAACCCTGTTGGATTTCAGCCCCTTACCCTGGAGCCCCGCCTGTCCAGGTCCTGCTCAGTCAGATAGAAATGCCCGTTTATAAGCACTTCTTTTTCCGGGTGAGCTGCGGCCAGGCTCTGGAACAAAGTCTCTGCTCTTTCAGGCTGTTTGGCCTGAAACGTTTTACATCTGTATCGGCAGAAAGCTCGGCTGGCAACAAGCCCTGCTCGACGTGCCCAAGCAGGACAGGAACTGGAGCGATTTCTCCGGGGGGGGCGTGTCTCCCCTCTCCGCTACTTCTTCAGCTTTTCAGGGCTGCCGAGCTCTTCCCGGTGAGCTGCCTTCTTAGGCTGGGCTCGAGGAGCGCCGGGGGGGCGGCTCTCCGGGGGGCTGAAGCGGGGGGCTCTGCCGGGCAGCCTCGGGCCAGGCGGCTCCCAGCAGCGGCGCCTGAAGGACCGGGTGCTGCTTTCCGCACTGCATAGTGCGGCTGTGAAACGCCAACGCGGTGCATTCAAGGAACAGTCTTGACGACAAACGTGGTGGTTGGCTTCCTTTTCTTCCCAGTTTACGTGCTGGTTTGATTTACTCGAGACTTTCGGGGCCGTATTTGGATCTCGTGCCCTTACTCAAAGGGGAGCGTGTTTCACTCCCACAGCCGTGAGCTGGTGGACAGGTGGCCACCAGCGAAGCCGGAGTCGCTGGGGTCTGTGTGTTCGCACCGTCATTCCGTATGGATGGCGCCGGGATGTGGAACAAGCTCTTCCCCCTCACCCCGGCCTTCCCGGAGCTCTGGCTGTCCCCGGGAGCTGAGCTGCAGGTATCGGATCAGACACAACGCTACCTGGCGCAGCTTTTAAAAAGAGCTGCTCGGAGCGTGTAAGGAGCTTCCCGCCCCCTCCCCGGGCTCACAGTGTCTCTCCGGGCCAAGCCCCCGCGGGCTGTTTCTGCAGCCCAGCCTCCGGAGGCCGCGGGCTCGCCGGCAGCTCTGGGAGGCCAGCGAGATGGCTCTTCAGACAGCTTCCCAAAGCGTGTGCGTCAGGGCACAGGGGAGGGGAGTGCTGATTTGCAAAGCAAATATCTAAGGCAGGGTGGTATTTCTGGGCCGTAGCCCTGAGCCGCTTGGCTCCCCGGGGCGGGAGCAGCCCGGCCGCTTCGCCCCGCCGCCCCCC